CCTTGGCAGTATTCCTACTAATAGGTTGAAAATCCTCACATAAATATTGACATATTGCTTTAATGCCCTCATACTCAACAAATTGAAAAGGTAGCTTATGCATTATAATAACAGTAATCAATAATCCATGAAATTTTTCAGGATCAAATTTTGATGAATGCACTTGAGATAAAAGAAGCTGACTTACATCACGTGTGTCCTTTCTGATACAATTATCAATATGTCACTTCATATTCCTAGTTCCATACTTGGTATTACACAAATAAACAGTCCCGCATTTTTTGCCCTTGCATCTTCGCTTCTTGTCTTTAGCAAGAGGAAGCATCTTAAAATATTGCCAAATAGCAGAGGTGAATTTCCTTTTTCGTTTTACAGCTTTTTTTTTTTTTTGTTTGAAAGCTTCCTTATCTCCTTGTAGCTCTTCAACTTCATCACCATTTTCTTCAACATCTTCAAGGTTTATTTGAATATCAGTAGCAACGTCCATCTACAAGTTTGCACCGAAATAAAACAACAGTAAAAAGATAAGATAATACAATACAAAAATAAAATACTAAGTTAATTTAATATATATTTCTTATTTTAATAAAAGATTAGTTATGTTCTAATTTCTAATACACCCAAATATTATTTCTTCTTTCTTCTGTTACATAATAATCTCTAGACTCTAATACAAAATAATTATAACATAGAATTTTTCTTCTATTACATAATAATCTCTAGAATCTAATATAAAATAATTATAACATAAAATTTTTCTTTTGTTTCAATAAAAAGTATTTTAAAAAACTTTTTTCGCAGAAAATAAAATATAAGTGTAATAGTAAAGAAATTATTTAACTCAAAAATGTTTGTGGAATGAAGAAACTTTATACTTCAATAAAGAATATACAATATTTCTAAACGATTTAATCCAATCATAAAAGAAGATAAGAAAGAACAAGAAATACACTGACATACATACATGTGTGTGCTTACATAGAAATACACACAGACATATACATTTGACTTTATATGCAAGTGTTTACAAAGAAATAGATCGTGCATACATACATATATATATAATAATAATAATAATAAGAATGAGGAAGGATTAGGGACATGGATGAAAGATATTCATTACAATAAAGATGGTGTGGTCCAGTTTCGTCTTTCTAGGGAGAAAGCTAAAGATGATCAAAGAAATTTAGACATCAGTGGTACAAATTGCATACAAATGGCTTCGACATCATATAAAAGACAAGAAATGAAATAGGAACTGAAATCGAATGATCTGTACCTTTGTTAGGTGTGACTTTGTGTTGGAACTCGACAGAAGGAAGAAATCACATGAGGAATCGAAGACGATTGAAGCCAGGGTTCGTAATTGCCTTTTGCGCTCTGTCGGCAAAAACAAGAAAATGGAAATAGTAAATATACGATAGGGTTAGTATTAGGACAAGGTTTTATTCTTATATTTTTACACCTATATGGACAAATTTAGCCTCTCTTATTTCACAATTTACCATTTTACATTTTAAATGGGTTGTAAATGGGTTGGGTCGTATCCGTGTTGACACGACCCATTTAATTAAACGGGTTATGCAGGTTGAACCCGAACCCAACCCAACTTTTTCGTGTGTCGACCCTTATCCGACCCGAACCCATTTATACTAAACCCAAACCCGCCTAAACTGTGTCGTGTCTAATTTTACCACCTCTACTGAAAGTTAATAAGCATAACATTTCCATTCCTTGGGCTGAGGCTATAGTTGGCAGGACCGAGATGGGTTGAAGCAAACACAAGATGCATGTAATGGATAGTTTCATTGCATTAATTGGGCCCAGTTGGTGCTGTACCTTCTTGTAACCACTAGAACTTTCATTGAGGCCCAAATTACCTTTCTTATCGTGGTCAACATGCAAAGACTACCATGTAATCATGATGTCAGACGACAGTATAGACGTCTGATAGCGCAGCATCACAAGTCCATCATGATAATGGAACCCAAACGTCAGTGCACTAGACAGCGACGATGGAGGATTTTTCGACAATCTATTTGGAATATCACTTTCATTGTCAGAAACCCAACTCCAAACTTGGGTATTCTTGATCAATTTACCCGAACGGTTGCCCAAGTCATTACAATTATGGTTAGGAAAAGCTACAACAGTCTCTTCCCAATTCCACAGCGAAACTGATAGAACTTGAAATCCTGCAAATGAAATAGATGCCGCCATCCAGTAATTCCTCAATAAACTTTGATTGCACACTTGGAAACCTGAACAAGGACAAGGTTTAACCGTGTGGTTGCGTTGCAAGGACGGCGACGACGATTCGCCATTAACGATAACTTCAACAGAGAAACATCGCCTAGTAGAGCGATGACCAACGGATCCAAACACCAAAATATTGTTATGTTGAACCAGAGATCTTGCAACAAGGATATGCGCATTACTACCAATGGTTTGACCCTCTATGGAAATCCATGGATAAAGAGGAAGGCAAACCAAAAAAAACTGAAAGCAAACAAGTACAAAAGGAAAAAGCGGAAAAAATTGATTAGCAAACTTTCCAATTTGCAAAAACCCCAAATTGACATTTAACCCACAGGTGCCCCTCCGGGGAGACAACCCATAGGGTTATCGGAATGGAGAGGAGATGAAAGTCATCACAGTCTTTACAGAACATAAAGAACACACCACCATGGAAAAGTACTCCAAAACTCTGAATGATAAAGGACCTCTACAGTGAGAGGAGCAAGAAGCTCTAATTGAACTTAAATTTGGATGAAGTGCAACTTGAGACTATCAGTTGCCTGTAGTTTGTTAGCTCCACAAACTAAAGAAATGATTCTGGTCCGTATAACCAAGTAATGGTTATTCCCCTTAACTCAAGTCCATTATGTTTTATAACCTTACCTTACATAACCCTAGTCACAAATATAATTCAGTAATTTAGGAACAACTACCTTGGATATACAGTAAATCCACAACACAAGTTACACAACGCAGCAACATCTCACAATCCATACACATATAGCATAGCGTAGCAACGAAGAAAGTGATTCTCTCTCCCTCCCTTCCTTCCTCTTCATCTGATCCGAAACTCCCTTCTCATTTATTTCATATTGACTACCCAATTCACAATTGAATCTAGAGTTTGTGGATTTTGTGAAACTATAGAGATCGATTTTATGTTGGTGATGAAGATCTATTGGTATTCGACTGTGATTTCTTCAATGGAATAAATGGGTGTGTGTGTGTGTGTATATATATATATATATATATATATATATATATATGCACGATTGTATGTATATATGCACGATTTTGTATAGCTTGAGGATATTTATACGAGCTTAGCCGAGCCGAGCTCGACCACGTTCGGTTAGGCTCGTGTCAAACACAAGCCGAGCTCGAACGGCCTTGAAAAGTTGCGAGCTGAGCCCAAACATGTCATTACTCGGCTTGGCTCGATTACAGCCTTATGTTTTACCATCCATATTATCAAGTGAAATTTAGACAATTTTATTTAAATTTTTAATCACGTGCATTGCATGTGCTCTTTGCTAATATATAGAAAAAGGAAAGGATTTCATTAATATCTATGGATTCCAACGGGTGGGTTTGGGGCATGGTACTCCAATCCCATTCCCGCCCCGTGTAGCAGAGGCCTCTCGTCCCGTCCAAAATCATTTTTTAAACTAAACAGGGTGGAGACAGGTTGAGGAAGTTACTTTTGTAATTGTGCTACAAATATAACAAACGTAAATAATAAAATATTTTTTCAACTATAGTAATAAATCATTTTCTCTTCTGTAGATAATAACAGGATTCAAATTCTCAATTAGAACTTGAGATTTAATATTATTGTAGGATCATAAGAATAATATATAGATGTTCTTAGATAAAGAATAATACGAAAGAATATCTAGTAATTGAGACAGAATAACTTAAATTAAAATTTTAATATAAAATAAATTTATAATGACAAAAATATAATTTATTAATATAAATGTGATGGGCAGGGCGGGGTGAGCTTTCCCCATCCCCGCCCATCAATTGCATGGGTTTTCAATAGGAACCCCCATCCTTACTTCAAAACCATTGAACCACCTTCACAACTATTATAAACGAGGCAAGGTAAGCCAGATAATCGACGAAGTGGGTGATTTACAATTCATATTATCATCTCATCGTGTTTGGTTGATTAATGACGAAAAATAAAGAAATAATAGTCTTAACATTTATAATCATGTTTGAGAAATAAATGAAAGAAAATTATGTTAACGAATTTATCACCATACCCTTTCACATTTAAAAGACAAATATATAGGTAAGAAGAAAAAAGACAAGTTTAAAATTTATTTTAAATATCATTGACGTTAAAGTGACAATCTGAAAAATAAAAAAAAAAGGGTTAAAGAAAATAAAAACATCTCCCAATTCCATGATGGAGTGAGAAAATAATTTTAGAATGGGTGGTCTTGAACAATATTAAAACAGTAATAAGATAAAACAAAATTCAAGCTGCCCCTAGTTAAAAATATGGTATTTGATCATTACTCAAATATGCTGAATTACTTCATTAAAATAGAATACTCCGTATATGTCACATGTTATTCTCAATTGTACCAAAAGTCATTATATTTATAATGGTACTTCCTCACCTTTTAAGATAAATTTCACATCAGTACAATATGAATAGTTACAATTTATTTATTTTTTAATATTAAGTAATATCTGAAAAATAAATTATTATATTAATTGAATTAATTTAATTTTGAAATTTTTTTAAAAATAGTTAGTTGGAAAATTTGGATGTAAAATATTCAATAAGTTATTTTACGAAATAAAAATTTTGAGGAAAAATATTTTTAAAAAAACGACATTGTGAAAAAGAAAAATTTTATAGTGTAATACATACAGTCCCGTCGACAAAGGACGGTTAACTTTCAAAAGGTATAGAAATTACTATCTTTTAGGTATTTATATGAATCTGGCAAGTCGGTTGTATAATTAGGTAGAAGAAGGGTCAATTATATGTATATATATATAGAAAAAAAAAAGAGAAAATTGCAACAGTGTCATTGATGTTTGACAAGAGTACATGACTCTTTAACATTCCAAAGTTACGGGTGGTGGTTTGAGTTGAGTACAGAGTCTACTCTGAACTCTGGTAAATTGTGGTTTCGACAGAGTAATGGGTGGAAGAGAGAAAATGAAGGAATTCGTTGTTGGGTCTGTGCCGACTTTGTTTTACATTCCCGACTTCATCACAGACGGTGAACAAGACCAGCTTGTCAACAATGTCATTATCCGCTTCAAACATCATGTTTTCCCTAATTTTGGGGTTTTAGGTCTAAATCCAAACACTAACAACTTTTTCTTTGTTTTATAGATTTATCAAGCTCCCTTATCGAAATGGAAATCTTTGAAGAATAGGAGACTACAAAATTGGGGTATGTTCAGTTTTAATCCTATTGCGCGTGTTTCTCTGTGTTTATGCATTTGTTCATCTTTTTTATTTGTAGATATAATTCATAAGAATTTATTTATTTATAATATTAATAATAATAATAATAATAATAATTATTATTATTATTATTGTGATTGGTACCGTGATCATGACAGGAGGAGTTGTCCATGAGAAGGGTCTTCTAGCGCAGGACTGTAAGTGGAAGAGATCTATGTTATTTATTCTCTGGTTTATTATCATTTTTTTTGGCCTTTCTTTTGACCATCTTGTTTTTGGTAGCATATTGTTAATGTTTGTTTTTCTGATTTCTTGCCAAAACATAGCCATTCAGGATGCCGATAAACGAATTTAGTTTTTAGTTTGTAATTCTCCATATTTATGATAAAAATTTAAGTGTTCCAATTTTATGGAAGTCACAATCTTTTCAGTCATATATGTGGGAATTCTAGTTTTCTTCTTGATAGAGTGCAAAAGAGCTGATCTTTGCTGGTTATAATTTCTTCCATGGCATATAACTAAGTGTGTGTCTAAGTTGGGTCTATTGTTGCTACTTTGTTGTGTTGCAAAATAGTCAATCTGATGTTTTATACGGCTCAAAAGAGTGCATATTAGCTGCATTTTTTATAGGATGCAATCTATAGCGATTATCATAATTGGAATTTGTAATAGAAAATTTTAAAGATGAGTGAGAATTGATAGATGGTTTTGCAATAGTAGAATCTATAGAAAAAAATAAATATCATTGGGAAATTGATCGGTAACCAGCTCTTTAGAGTTGCTTAACAACTCCAGAGTTCCTTGGGAAAAATCTGAACATTGTGATATTGTTCACTGACCACGTTCCTAGGTATCAATATATACACCAAATTGTTGAGCTGCAGGGTCTTCCTGCAACTTAAGAGTAGTGGTTGGTTCATCCCTTGGATCAATCTCGTGTAAGTGCAGCTGTTGCACAACATGGCACAAAGCTTTGTAATCCTACTTATTTCCTAACGTAAAATGCATAAAATGTGAGTTGTTGAAGGAACTTCATTTCCTAATGGAGTTGGAATCAACCAACTTCATATTGATGTGGATGCTTCTAAACAAACATTCTTTTATTCTATTTTTTTAATGGCTTCATGGGTGATGAATTTATTTATTTCACTTCTACCTCCCTCCATAATTATACTACACATCTTAAAGCTGCACAGAATGCCAGAATTATATTTTTTGTCACCTGTCCTCTATCTCATTTTTTTACTTCCCGCAAGTTTTAATAAAACACAATTATTAGGAACAAATTAGAGAAGTACTTTAATAACTTATACAAAGAGAAGCTATAGAAATTTTCATTTAACTAGTGACAAATAAAAATATAAGTATGTGTGACATCATTGTTGTTATTGGCATTTTTCTTGTCTTGATATCATAAAACTTCAGTTTTTCTTTCTTCCCAGTGTTCCAAAGAGTTGGAAATGGGGATTGTGTATAATTTAAGATATTTTTCCCCCATAAACGCGATCTAACAAAAATGTCGCAGAATGAAGGTTCATGTATCTTTTATTAAACATGAGAGGACGTTAGTGTAATTTCTCCCTTTTCTCTCTTGGATTCATATAATCGATATCATACATGTGTGTATGTTATTGTAAATGTAAATATAGTAATGATACCATAATAATGAACTTATATTTTTGTTCTACAAGATTGGACTTCAAAAGTAAGGATAAAAGGGTTTAGGTTAAAATTTATATGAATTTCGAAAAATACAAGTTATATTTATTTACAACTCACTATATTTTGGGCCAATAAATAAGTGTTTTGAACTTTATTTGGGGTGGAGAGAGAGAGAGAGGTGGGGGGAATGAAATTTTCTAATGAATTTTCAGACCAAAAGTTGATCTTATTTGCAAAACAACTATTTTTTTGAGGGAATAATTTAAAAAAACAAAAGTTGAGCTTATTTGCAAAACAACTATTTTTTTGAGGGTATAATTAAAAAAAATGATTTTTTTTTGGGGGCTATCCCTCCGCCCCTGCAAACAAGCCAGTAGCTAGCCATGTGAGACATCTGATAAGGCTCATGAGAGGGCCAGGTGGCAGGAGATAATAGCGTGGAATTTGTTAAAAAAGGTGAAGATGAGGGTCAGCTTGTGAACAAGTGGGTCTAAAAGGTTCCTTTCCACCAAGTTTACTCTCTATCTCAGGATACATCTTTCTATAACTATATATATGGTCTACATTTCCTAGTTGTTGTTAAGTATTTAGTATAGTGATTTTCCTAGTTTCTTTAAATCAGCAACAGAGGAGGTAGGGAAAAGAGCAGCAAATACCATCAGAAAATGATTTACTTGAGGTTTCTTCGAAGTTGAATGTCTATAAGTAGTTTGTTAGGTTCAAAGTTTCACATCATTCAGGATTTTTGAAAATATAATTCTTAATTTCTAAAATTAAGTAATATTAACTTGTGATCAAAGCTACAATCAACTCCAGTAGTTTAAGTTTTCTTCCCTTCTTATTCTCTTATTTTTGGATAAAAACAATATACTCCTAAGATTTCAGAAGTTCCTTTTGAAATATATATATATTTTTTTCAGTAGATAATTCCTTTTCTGGAACGTTGGTAAAATCAAGGCAAATAGATCTTTCCACATCATTTTGAAAAAATATATATCTCCAGTTTGTGGAATCTTAAAGACCAAAATAGAAGTTATTCTTTTTTTCAAAGATAGAAGTTATTGTCCAATTCTTTTTCACAAGGACTAGAAATTTCTACTTTTTACCTACAAAATTCTTTGTGTGTTGTTCAATCATTAGGCATGTGATCTCAATAAGTTTTTCCATAATTTTAAAGACCATTTTAGTTAGGGAACAATGTTTATCTTGATCCTACCTTGCAAGCACTTCGGAAGTATCATCAACCAAGAAATCATCAGTCTTAAGATGCCCCTTTAGGGGGTTGAGGACTCCTTGTGATGGATTGCCTAAGATGCACTTCATAGAAGCAAAATAAAATGCAGAGACAGATCCCTAATAGGAATTCAATCTGTTACATAGACCAAGTGGTTTGAGATGAACCAGATAGTCCCAAACACAGTGATGAGTGGAGGAGATAGGGCCAGTGGTTCGAGAGGAATCCAAAAGTCCCAAACATGGTGACCAGTAGAGGAGAGACTAGTAAAGGTCTTAATCTAAATTGAGGTTGAAGTTGTTCATTTGGCAAAATTCATGTTAAATGGATTGGCAAGCAAACATGAACCACTATTCCAAGTGGAGAATTGAGTAACAAATGTAGGTTGCAGTTAGTAAAGCTTAAGCAGCAAGGTAAGATCTGTAAGGTAACCCAAGATATGTACAATGTACGAGATGAAGATGAAGTTGAGAAACCATATTACCTTTTGGAGTTGCACCAGTCTATTCTATATATATATATATATATATATACTTTCACAGCCCAGTTCAATATGAATTAGGACTTATTGAGATTTACGGATTCGGAAGACGCAGTACAACAAGCTTTAAGGCTGAAGTTAAAATTTCGCAACCCTGGCCAAAGGAGCCATTAACCACACGCACTGATGATTCTATCAACCAGCAAGGTTAACAGCTATTTACAGTTAAGAGGAAAACTGGATATCTTCATTGTGGTGACCACAGGGCTGCATGCGCGTGTGAACAGAGAGGGCAAGGCTCCCATGGAGAGCAAAACGTCTTCAATAATGCCAAAACGTTCAAGCCAAATGGGATTGTGAAGAAACAATGGTGTTGACGAAGATGGCAAGGAAAAGAATTAGCCAATTGGAATTCAAAGAAATTTGGTATCAATTCATCACATGCAGATATCATAATGGAGAATGAAATGTGACTCGAAAGCATGGGTCGCACGTGACTTGCCTCTACTTTTGGAGAAGGGTCAAGGATAAATAAAATTTGGGTTAAATATTATTTCACTTTTTTTATTTTAATTTTTAGATATTTAAATTTAGGGTTATTTTTGTATTTTCTTACTTTAGGGCCTTATTTGGTAGTAGCATTTGATTAGGGTTTTATTTTAGTGTCTATGTATAGGGCTTAGTACATTATGTTGGATAACTTTTGATGATTATTGACTATTGATTATAGAGATTATTCAGAGATTCTCCCCTCTATTTTTTCTTCTTATTCAGAGATTCTCCTCCTATTTCTTCTTCTTCGGGGCCAAACGTTCTTTATTATTCTAAACCACAATGATAACAACCACAAACCTTAAATCAAAGCAGTGTTCGTCCAATCGAAACCATCAAATCTACCTCTAAATCCTTCATCATGTATCACCTTCGTCATAGAAACACCGTCACTGCCACCAAACTTTAGGCGCCATAATCACCTTTGCAACAAACCCAAGCACCCAAGTCACCATCGCCAATTTATTATTACCAGACCGAAACATTCAAGTTCACTTCGAAAGATTCAGTTCAGGGCCAAACATTCTTTATTGTTCACAACAACCCAAACTCAGTACTTCTGTTCATCATCACAAATTAACTCCTCCAACCTATAGTACTTCTATGTACCCAAAACCACCATGATAACAACCACAAACCTTAAATCAAAGCACTGCTCGTCCGATCCAAACCATCAAATCTACCTCTAAATCCTTCATCATGTATCACCTTCGCCATAGAAACACCATCACTGCCACCAAACTTTAGGCACCATAATCACCACTGCAACAAACCCAAGAACCCAAGTCACCATCGCCAATTTATTATTAACAGACCGAAAGATCCAAGTTCACTGCGAAAGATCCAGTTCAGGGCCAAACATTCTTTATTGTTCACAACAAGCCAAATTCAGTACTTCTGTTCATCATCACACATTATCTCCTCCAACCTATAGTACTGTCATCTACCCAAAACCACCATGATAACAACCACAAACCTTAAATAAGAGCAGTGTTCGTCCGATCGAAACCATCAAATCTACCTCTAAATCCTTCATCATGTATCACCTTCGTCATAGAAACACCGTCACTGCCACCAAACTTTAGGCGCCATAATCACCTTTGCAACAAACCCAAGCACCCAAGTCACCATCGCCAATTTATTATTACCAGACCGAAACATTCAAGTTCACTTCGAAAGATTCAGTTCAGGGCCAAACATTCTTTATTGTTCACAACAACCCAAACTCAGTACTTCTGCTCATCATCACAAATTAACTCCTCCAACCT